ACAACACAACACACAACACACAACACACAACACACAACACACAACACACAACACACAACACACAACACACAACACACAACACAACACACAACACAACACACAACACAACACACACAACACAACACACAACACGACACACAACACAACACAACACAACACAACACATACACATACACATACACATACACATACTCATACACATACACATACACATACACATACACATACACATACACACAATACACACAAGCACAACACACACACACAGCACACACAACACTCACAACACAACACAGCACAGCACAACACAACACAACACAACACAACACAACACAACACAACACAACACAACACAACACAACACAACACACACAACACCACGCACTACGCAACACACAACACGCGCGCTGAGACCTGTTTCACACATCCGGGAACAATGCTAAGGCCTGTTTCGCACGTCTGGGCTGGCTTTTAGGGTTTAGGGCTCAGGGCTGTGGACTGGCTTTCGGGTTTAGGATTTAGGGCTCAGGGCTGCGGGCTGGCTCTAGAATTTAGGATTTAGGACCCGCGACTGTGGGCTGGCTTTAGAATTTCGGGCTCAGGGCTGTAGGCTGGCTTTAGGGTTTAGGATTTAGGTCTCAGGACTGTCGGCTAACTTTCGAGTTAAGTATCCGCCGTCTCGTCCGTGTCATCCTCGCGTCCGGCATGCGCTTCCCCCCGCCGCGCTCGCGCCTCGCCCAGTCACTCTTCTCGCTTACTTTTCGCTCACTTGCTCTCACTCTCTCTCTTACCCTTTCACTCAAATTTGCATGTGGGGTTATCCGGTCCTTTAATTGTGTGCCCTGAATGGGCTGCGGATATTGCAGTCATTATGCAATCTGCCTGTGCGAGACATTCCGTGCATGCAGAATTCAAGACAAGCCTCCCGGAGCACTAAGCAAAACCACAATGCCAATAGACATCTGGATAATCAGTAATTGTATCCCCGGCCTGTGAAGTTTTGCTGCGAAATAAGTACCTCCCCCCAGCCCTGTTGAAATTATTAAGGCTTCCATGTTAGACTGGCTTCTGAGGTTTCACCCCGGAGCATGTTCAGCTCTTCATCGCAGAGGACAGCTGGTTGAGGGTTCTCCCTGCAGGGCATTATCCTCGTCGTGCGTGTAATAGAAGATAAAGCATGGCAGAGCAAACAAGAGAAAGAAGCAAACCTCTCACGCACACACACACACACACACACACGTATACATCTATACGCATATGCATATGTATAGGTATGTTTATATGTCTATGTATATGTGTATGTATATGTCTATGTATATGTGTGTGTATACGCATGTGTATATGTATATGTATATGTATATGTATATGTATATGTATATGTATATGTATATGTATATGTATATGTGAATGTATATGTATGTATGTATATGTATATGTATATGTATATGTATATGTATATGTATATGTAGATGTATATGTATATGTATGTATGTATTTATTCATTTATTTATGCATATGATTCTCGAGAGCTATCCTTCTGTGTTACACAGATATGTACGCATACATATACATTTATAAATTTATACATAAATTGACATGTTTATGTCGCGTCCCCGGAGCCTAGAACATGATTGAAACGCCCGCGTAGTAAAGCAACAGTCAGGTTAGCGTCTAAGCTTGGGGGGCTCTAAATCCCAATCGTGCGTCCTGCTGCGTAGCCAGGACAACGACCCTTTTGCGGACACGCCGATCTTCGCATCTGGGCCGGTCTCCACCTCCTACACCCTAAACCGTTACCCCCAACATGATTCAGGGTTTAGGCCCCAAAGATCCCAAAGCCTTGAAACTTGACCTCCACCTGTGAGCAACTTAGCCCAACATGTCCTGGGTGCAGGTTTAGTCCCCGGATTAGATCTACCTGGACCCTGAAAAACCTATCTTCTTCCGGTCCCTATTTGTTTTTGCTTTCCTATCCTACGCCCTTAAAAAAAAGGTAGGTTATCTATGGCCCTAACCCTCCAGGTACCTACTATATAGGGTACTAGAGCCCCTAAGGCCCTATATAGTAGGTACCTGGAGGGTTATCTATAGGGCCCAGGATCGATGGAGGGGGCGTAGTCTTGAGCTTTCAGAGTGGGACCTGCCTGGCCCATCGGTCCTCCGAGGCCCCAAGGGTTTAGGCTTTAGGGTTTAGGGTTTAGGGGTTTAGGGTTTAGGGTTTAGGGTTTAGGGGTTTAGGGTTGCTCGAGACTCTCGGGACACAGTCCTAGACCTGCCTTTCTACTTTAGCGCGCAATGGTTGAGCAACTGACGAAAGTGGCTTCTTGTGTTGCGTACACTCGACGCTCTCTTCATAGAGCTGGCCTCC